GGCCGCCCGAGCGTGTCCTGAACTCCCTTCGGCACCGTGTGTTCCACACGCTCGCTCCCCAGGACCTGCAACGCCCAACAGGCCTTCCTGGCCGAGGACCAACCCCCCCCCCCTCCCGCCCCGGGCGCCTGCATCCCAGCACGGGCTGCCCCCCCCCACCCAAGGACACGATCCTGCACCATCTTGCTTCCAAGGGAGTTTTTTGTTAATGGCCTGAATTCAGCCCAAAGAAACTGCTGGCCCATGACGTGACCAGCCCGCCCCGGAGGGCGCCAACGGCCTCTTCCATAGGCCTGGAAGGGCGTCTTCCTGAGCCCCGCCTCCCGCGTCCCACTCACACGACCTGTCCCGCTGGCACCTGGAGCCCTACAGAAGTGCAGAGAGCGCGATGCCAGTGCCAGCTCGGCCCCCGCGGTGGACAGCATGGCCCGGAGGACACGACTGCCCGCTGCTCACCCCCAGGTCCGGGCCAGGGACGCGCCAGAACACCCTCAGCCCATCGGCCCCCCGGTGCGGCCGGGGCCAGTCAGCAGACCTGCTGCCGCCCACGTGACCAACACGTGCCAGGAAGACAAACCCGATGAGCCAGGCCCGGGCCCACGGCGCTCTGACCAATCCACGCCCCTCGGACCGGAGAGGGGAAGGGGCCAGATACGCGGCCTCTTCGTGAACACCCGCCCCCACAGGGCCAGGCCGGCCTCCTTCCCTGCGTGCCGGTCTGCTCTGTGCGTCTGCTCCATGCGTCTGCTCTGCGCGCAGGCACCGCACCGCCTCCCGGCGCGGCCTGTGCCCGGGGGCCCCGCCGAGGCCGCCCTCGGACGCAGGCAGGCAGCAGTGCACGGCTCACCACTTTTCCTTTCTCTGGGAAGGGAAAGTCAGTCTTAAATAGAAAGTAAATATTTTACTAGGCATTTCTGGAGTGACCTAACACAGAGTAACATTCCACGGTCTAAAAACAACCTCCTGACCGGGCTCCGGTTCATCACTCCGGCCCCAGGAATCCAGGACGGAGGGCCTGCTCCCACCCCGCAGGTCCGCCCCCGCCCCGGCCCACACACGGAGGGTTCCGGGGCGCGTTGTCACGGCACCGGGAGTCCCACCCCCCACCCCGACCCCTCCTCGCGATGCCGGAAACTCACCCGTCCTTTCTGAGCCAAGGGTAAAACCAGCCAGCCCCTCCTTGCCCGTGCAGGTCCATGCCCTGCCGCCTTCCACGGCGGGCGCTGGGACCCTGCCCCCCACACAGGCAGGCAAGGGCCACCCGGGAAACCGCTCCGCTGCCCACACGGCACCTCTGGGCAGGAGTGGCTGAGTCACTTGTTTATTGAGTTTGTATTTTTAAAAACACCTGTGATGTGTCAGGCCTATTCTGAGCGCCTTCTAAATACGACCTCGTTGAACCCTGCAGCGCGCCCCATTACCACCCCCACCTCCGCCGTGAGGTGCAGAAACCGGAGTCCTCTGTGGGGGTCAGCAACCCCCAAATCCCGCAGGCCTCTCTTTTCCTTTACCACACCTTCTAGGAGCGGCGGTCCCTCTGGATGCCGCCTCCCGCTGGTGACACCGCCTTGTGTCGCCTGTATCAGAGACTGTGAGGGGGAGCGGACATCTCAGTGGGACCTGTCCCTCGCCCCTGTGAACACACAGGACACCAAGGTCAGCCCAGTGCCCCGGGGTGGGCGGCTGGGCAGCCCAGAAACCACCAGGTCCCAGAGCTCCCAGCTACAGATACGGGGAGGAAAGGTGGTCCCTACCTTGGCCCACCCCCTTCCCACAAATGACATAAAGACCCCGACTCCCCCGGCACCCTCCCTAAGACGCCCCCTTCCCCAGCTGCTGCTCCAGAAGATGAGAGGAATCAGAGGGAAAACAAACCTTTCTAATCTCCCTCGCTGCGGAGCATTTTTAAAGGGCCGGAGTTACACTTGCCACATGTGTTTCAACCGCCGAGGGGCTGCTAAGCTCTCGGGCCGGGCTGAGACGCGCACAGCAAGACCGCCACCCAAACCGTTCGCCACTGCCCCGCGCCCTTCCCGCCCCTGGGACACGGGGCACTCGAACACGGCAGGCTCACAATTACCGCCGAGGACACTCGAGTCACTCTGCGCTGCTTCCTTTGTCCAGTACCCTCGGAGCACATTGGGCAGATTAGGGAGGAAAAAAAATTACCCACTGTTCAAAGTCCTCCTTAAAGACTCAGGAAGACATCATTACAGCCCGAATTCCAACTTTAATTCTGAAATCTCCTGGCTTTTGTCAGCTGAAGCAGCATTCTTAATCCCAGGCTTAGTTGAGAAATGAGAAGAAAGGATGGTGTGTATGGAAGGGAAAAAAATAAAAAAATAAAAAAAAAACAACGCTCAGCCCCGAGTGGAAAGTGCCAGCATTCTGGCGGAGCGCGGAGAGGCCGAGCCCACACAAAGGCCAGGCTGAGGACAGGGTCTCGGAAGGTGACGTTCTCCTGCGGCACCAGCTCAGGCGCAGGCTTGTGGGGTGCCCTCGGGTGCTGCTGCAGGGCCTGGGGTGCCAAGCTCAGGGGCTTTCCTGCAGAGCCAGGGATCCCCGCCCCCCGGATGCGAGACCACCCACAAACCCTGGCTCCCGTCAAGAGCCTGCCTGCTGCGACCAGCCAGCAAAGGATGATGAAACTGCTTGGGACGTCAGAGAGTTCCTTCTCAGACGCCTTCGGACCCGGCCACATGCACGGTCCGAGCAGATGGGCCCCAGAAGGCGGCGCCGCCCTTCTCAGTGCGGCAGGAACACCAGTGAGAGGCACACGGAGGGGGCCGGCCCACCCAGGTGCCACCCTTCTCCGCTGAGTGGAGGAGACCTGTAGGAAACTGCGGGGGGGGTGGTGCTTCACACAGAACATACTCATTACCCAACTTGGAGCTAGGCCAGCACACGGGGGTGAACACGATGACTCACTGGTCAAAAGACACCCCCCCCACTGCCCTCACCCCCACAGCAGACCAGGCAGAAGCCACAGGCCCAGGCAGCGCGCACACCGCCCCCAGACCACCTCGTCCCTCTGGGGCCTCGGACGCCAGCCAAGGCTTCAGGGATTTCCCAGGCACCCCTGTGTTCGCAAGCACACACGTGCTCGCGAAGGGAAGAGCCGCATTGTAGGGAAGGAAGGTAATCTGGTAATTAAAGGAAAGCCTGTTTTTCAGGAAGATCTCCACCTTGTGGGGACCTTACCTTAGAGGAAGCCAAGGTCAGTCCGAGCGCTCCGGCATCACCTGCTCTGGACGCCTTTCAGGTGAGTTAATCACCGAGCAGGGCTCACCTCCGGATTTCAGGACACGCCCAACTTCGGGCCCTTCCCCTTCCATTCCGAGCGCCTCTTTGAAAAGAAGGCTGCTCCTTTTGTTCGGAGTAGTCATTCAGATTCCTTTCCAAGGCAAACTCGGGGCAGCAACCCAAAGGAGATTCACCCGGCCGAACCAGGTTTCTGGCTGGTTTTTACGAACGTGGGGCCCACAGACCATTCCCCTTCGGTGAAAGGCTAACACCCGCCCCCCATGTTGAACACGGGAACCAACTACTGATGGAAGAGAGGTCCACGAGGAGTGGAGGTGGGAGGTGAGGAGCAGCCAGCAGGGGGAGGAAGGGGTGCCCCATCTGCCTCCAGCCCCTCCCCCAAGAGAGGGGCTCACAACAGGAAGGGAGGGGCCTGCTTGGAGCACACTCCCACCGAGTTCACTAATCCAGACCACCAATTTGGAAACTCTACTTACAACATGACACCTGGCCACTGAATCCAATTTTACCACCCAAAACCCTACGCACAATGAAAGCTGTCCACATAATCCCGGGGTGTTGGTCTGGGAATGGGGGGGGGGGGTGCTTCAGAGACAGCCAGATGGAGGGCAACGGAGAAAATGCGGTCTTATCTTGCCTGGTGTGGCAAAGCCACTCCCAAATGAAACCGAGTGCCAGTCCAAAGCCAGAAGAGTTCTCAACTAATAACAGGGAAACCAGAGCCAAAGGCACTTGGAACCAGAGATTCCTCAAGGCTCCTTCACTTCACTTAACCTCCCTGGGCCTCTGTTTCCTCGTCGGTGAGACTGCGAGCCTCTCACTGGTACGGCCAGGAGGATGTGAGTGAGGGTCAGAGGAGTGCGGCCGGGCCAGCGGCACTGGGCCTGGCCCCCAGACCCCCCAGGCCCCCCCAGCATCCGCGCCGGGCCTGCAAAGTCTGCCCTCCAGAGGGGCAGGCCTCTCCCCGTGGGGGCCCCTGTCGACTGAGCCAGCCACTCAGGCTTCTGATCCCGAGCCATGCTGTTCATTAACCCAGAGAGTGCAGTGAATTTAAAACAGGCCTGGTCCAGGAAACTATCTAGAAATCCCTTCTTAGTGGTAGATGGTGAGATCCTAAACAAAAGATCGTTAATCAAAAAGGGAAATTAAAACAAGCCAGACTTCTCGTGGCCCCATGTGATCTGGAAAGCCACTCTGGGCCCGGAGAAAGAGAACTGTTCCGGAGAGGCCCCTGTGAACCCCCGGGGAACACGCCACATTCCGGGGATGCGGCAAACTCTCACTCCCCTCTGCTGTCGGGGTGGCCCCTGGAGCGGCGTCCGGGGCAGGAGTTGCTCCTCCACCAGGAAATCCTGCTGGAGCGGCGCTGCCAACAACAGTCCGGCGCCCGTCCCAGCTCTGCTGCTTTGGGGCCCAGGGGTGTCCCTGCTGTGCCTCCTTCACCTGACAGCCCCCCCCCCCCACCTTGAGAAAATCCAATGCAGCGTACCCAGGTGTCCCGGGAGAGTGACAAAGACACCAAGTAAGTAAGTATGTGCTCAATACACAGCAGCCACATCGTGACCTTAACAAAAACAAGAGAACTACTTAAATGACCCGGTGGACACTCAGGGTTCCTCGGCCAAGGGGAAGTGTGGTGCCAAGGGGCCCCGCCCCGCTCGTCCTGGCGCCACCGCTCGCGGGTGGGCAAGCTCTGCTCCCCGCGCTGGAGAGGCGCGGCCGCCCGAGAGCAGAGGATGCAGTCCCGGCCTGTGCCGGAGGAAGACTACAGGGCCTGGCGGCCCTCGCGGTGCTCCCCAAAGGCTACTGCCGCCATTCACCGTACAATCCCAGACGCCCAGAGGAAGGCCTTGCGTGGGGGCCTCAACCCTCCCAAGGGGCCAGGTGCCCGAGTCGCAGCGACGCGGCCCTTCACCGTTTGGTGCATCTTGGCCACCATCGCGCAGTCAGTCAACGACCCTCCACGTTCACCAGCACGAGGGGTGCGTAGATACGACAGAGACTACGCAACCCCAGATACGGGGTCACTAAGGGTGGCTCAGGCACAGGGCAGCTCCGTACCTGGCTCCGGTCCCACCTCGGGGTGCGGCGCGGCCTCCGGGCTCCCGCTCCTGACCGGAAGGGGCGCGGGCGCCGCCGGGGGCGTGCGGCCGGAACCCTCCGCCCAGCACCCTCCGCCCAGGTGACCCCGCACAAAGGCGGGGGAGGGGGGGAGGGAGGAGGAAGTGGACCGAGGAGAGGGCGGGGCCGCTTCTCGCACCCCAGACGACTCACCCCGGCAGGAAGCAGCTCCCCATTTACAAGTGAAAGGGGGACCCGGGGGGAGGGGCGCTTCCGGCGGGGTCCCGCGAAGGTGGGGGCAGGCCCGCCCGCCCGCAGACAGCGCGGGCTCCTGGGCCCGGGACTCCGGCCGTCCCCGCGCCGTCGGGGAAGGGGGCGGCGGCCGGGCCCGCCCTCCAGGGGGAGTGCGGCCAGGTGCGGCGGCGGCGGGCGGGCGACCTGGGGCCAGCCTGTCCTCCCTTCCTCGGGAGGTCCCGTCGGAGAGCGTAAGTCCGGGGCCTCCGCCGGGACGGAGGGTCCCCCCGGGGCCCAAACCGTGCGCCGCTGGTCCGGGGGCTGGGAAGGGCCTCTCTGGGACTCGGGCAGCAATTCAGTATTTCTCCCTGGCACAAAACAGGAATTGGTCTATTTACCTAGCCCGCAGGAGTGTCGTGAAGATTAGTAACTGTGAAATGTTCTTAAGATCAAAAACATTCCGAGATTTTACTTGTAGGTGCTTATATATGTGAAAATGTCATTGCCACTTGCCTTCCACGCTGGCCCTCCTAATCCAGCCAGTCCCAGAAGGGCAGACGAGCATGGGCCAGCGGTACAGACTTCTGGAGAGGGGACCGGAGAAACTTGAAAACCATGTCACCCCCACTGGAAAGAAAACACAGCACCCCCCACACCAGTTCATTAGGTAGTTGCCCCCAAGTGCGGGGCTTCCTTGGGTGTTTGGAAAGTCTTGCCCCGCCCCCCAGACCCAGCGGAAGGTCGAACGCAGCCAGAGCTACGAACCCACGAACCCACGCAGTCCATGTGGCCCGGCGGCTCCAATGCTAGGCCTCCCTGGTGCCACCAGCACGCTGCCCCTCCCACAGAGCAACCCCACTGACCAGGCGAGGCCGCCCCACTCCAGGCAGACTGGGCTCTAAGAGCTCTGGAGGACCCTCCCTGCCAGCCTGCCACTGGCCGCACTCCAGGTGGGCAGGCCCCAGAACCGCAACACCCCACCAGCTCTCCACCACCCAGAAGGGCCTGTGCAGATGCCCCCACTGCTTCCCCAGACCCACCTGGGCTTGCACAAGCAGAGGATAAACTGTGACTGTTTGCACTTCTGGGCCAACAGCACTAAAGACATCCATCAGCAAAAGAAAAAAAAAGTCCCAGCCCCAGTTCATTCAAGGGGAAAGCTGCACAAACCCTTTCCTGGCCTCCCACCCCTCAAAAGCAAAGGAACTTCACCTGCTTTTTCCTCTCTCCCCTCCACCACACCTGGGGCAGGTTCAATACAAACACTTGCAGGTTCGATGCAGGCCATTTACACTCTGTTAGCCTGGACATTAGGTAGACTTCTTAAATCGCCACAGGGCGGGGGCGGGGGGCGGGGAATCCCATTAGGCCAGAGGAGTTGACCTCTATGTTCTCAGTCTACCACTGCTTCCAAAGAAACTTCCCGGGAGTCCGTGACTCCATAATGAAGTTTTTGTTTGTCCAGGGCTGGGACAGATTGCCGGAGGCAGCATTTCAGGCCTGGCTGGAGCACGGCAGCGAGTTCACAACGGCCCGGCTAGCTGGAGAAAGACCCCCACACCACCTCGGTTACCCATCCCTCCACACGGCCCCAGCACGGTTCTGCCACCACCTCAGCTGGGGGGGGGGCAACACAGAAACAGTGCCGTGGTTTCTGATCCACTCCGAGCCAGTTGACAGTGTCTTTCCGGTCATAATCAAGGATTTACTTTAATGCAAAAAAAGCACATTTCTGATCAGAAGAGTGCTTTTGAAGGGAGAAAAAGCAACAACATAAAGGTGTGTGTCTGTACATTTTACAAGTGGTTAAGACTGGAAGCGCCACGGTGATGAAAAGAACTCCCCCCACCCTCGCCCCCCCTCCCCAAACAGTGTGGGATTCCTAGAAAACAACCAAGGCGAATCTGCCCGCCAGGTCCGGGAACAAGAGCTATTTGGGATTACCATCCTCTCAACTCCACCAGCCCTTCGGGAAAAATGGAGGCTCTGTGATCGCCTGGGAGAGCAGCACAGCTCTCCACCAAACCCGAGGTATCACTTGCCCCATGAATAAGAACCCAACTGTTTCATCAAAATTCCTGTGAATATTAAACCAACAGGCACCATCTGTTAAATGTAGTCACAGAAACAGTTAAACCAGGTCATTTCTAGAACATTCACTCAGGGAGGGGGAGCGAGGCGAGATACAGATGGCAAGATCGACTTGCCCCTGAAGTTCTGACCACATGGGCCTGGCTGAGGTCCGACCAGCGTGGGCCCCAACAGCGGCCAGTGTCTACGGGGACCCCACCACGCAGGGGAGGGGCGGGGCAGGGAAGAGGGAGCGGGAGGACTCGTGCCCCTGGCCACGGAGCTGGCTCCACCCTGTAACCTCAGCTTCCACGTGGGCGCCGGCCGCTTTGTGAACAGAGGAGGAGAGGCAGCCGCCTCAGCACAAAACCCCAAAATCCAACAAACCCTCATTTCAACGGCACTTTCCCTGACACTACACACAGACTGAAAAATAAAAAAAAAAAAGGCTTTAACAGGAGGAGTAACATACATAGAGGGAACTGCATCCTGTGACTTAAGACGCCTCCATTTCTGGGAAGAGTTGAATATCATTTCTTAAAAATTGCATTTCAAGGGGGAAAAAAGTTTGCTTGTTTTACTTTCTGGGAAAGACCCTCCTATGTGCTTTCAGAACCTTTCCTCGAAAACGCAGAGCCCCCAAGAGAAAAGCACAGGAAGTTAGTTCCCCAGCGTTCCAGAGAAAGACCACCTCTGCAAGCCCCCAGACAGGGAGCAGGCCTGTGGCCACCCCTCCGTGCCCGCATCCCGACCGACCGCAGCTGGACCACAGCTCAGGAAGGTCCTATGCTCTCCAGCCGTCAGAAGAATGGAGGCCAGCCGGCCCTTGGCTGGGTTGTCAACAGCCCCCCCCACACACACGGTGGCCTGGCTGGCTCTCTCCCTACGGCACATTCTGTATTCATCTGTGAGCCCCCGCCTTTCTGCACAGCGCGCAAAGCCCTCTTTCCACCGAGCAGGCCCTGAAAGGCCCAAGGCAGCCAGCGTTTAGGCTTTAAACATTCATAATGACGGCTAAAAGCGAACTCCAGATTCCGCCCAAACACCCCTCCGTGAATGTCATCACGGTCCTGCGGATGGCCTCTGGATACGATCCATTAAATCAGGATCAAAAGGAACAGTGAACACCTTAAAAACGGTCCTGGACTTTTTAGCGATTATTAAATGTAATTTCCCAAACCAAGAGATGGGGTAAAAAAAAAAAAAAAAAGAAAGAAAACCCTTTCATAAGTCTTTGATACCTATATTCCATCAAACACGGACTTGAATAAAAATTAACTTCAAAAGATCGGGCTGGAGAGAAGCCTCCCCCCGCCCCCCGGCGGCGCGGTAACCGCGGCGGGTGAATCGGGGCATGCTCACCGGGCGCACGGGAGGAAGCCGATGGCTGCACCGTGGCCCGGCCTCGGCGCGTATCCATTCCAGCGTTGTCACGTGCTCACTGAAAGTTCTCAGTCGGGTCCCCAGGAGCAGCCCTTCCAGAGACATTGGGGGGGAACCGCGCCCCCACTTCCGCTGCTCCAGTTACGGAGGAGTCCTTCTCCTCAAAGGGTCAGGAAGCAGGCACGCACGTTTTACTGACTGCAAAAATACGTCCCACCCCCTGGACAGGGGCTCTCAGCCTGCAGGTGGGTGGTGGGAAGATTCCCAGAGCTGCCCGCGCCCCGCCTACCGGAGAAACGTCTTTCCTCCCCCGATCCGGAATGTGTGACTGTGTCTGTGTGGCCTGTCTCAGGGGCAGGGGACACTTGGGCTGCTGCTCCTCACTGATGGAAACATTATTAACAGAGGGACCCGGGCTGCACTGCCATACATTATGGTGACAGCCTTCTATGCTGAAATGACAAGAGGTAAAAAACGACAACGGGGCCTGCCATTCCACCGTTGCTGTCAACTCTTTACCTTTTTTCCATTTAGGGAAAGCAATTAAGTGCAAAGGGTATAACTTGGCCTCCGAAAAGGATTCATGGCGGAAGGGGGCTGTTGCCACTGGCACTCGGGCACTGTCCTGGCCGGGCCTTTGGGGGCCAGACCTGCTCCCTTTTCGTTTTCCACAGGCCGGAGGAGCCTCCAGGCTTTCCAATGGTGGGAGCCAGCCTGCGCTCCCTTCGCTTTCGACCTTTCGTAGTTCCCAGCGAGACAGCCTCTTGGATTTCAGCGTGTGGCTTGTTCTGCGTGTGTTTTATATCTCCACCCTTTCTTTACCTTGTGCCCAGCTACTCAGGCCCTGACCAAGGGGCACGCGGGGCTTGTAGTTTTGGTTGCTGTTGGTGTGGCTGTTTGTTTCATTTCATTTCTCTTTAAAAAGGCTTTTCAGACTTACGAAGAGGACTCCCGCTTGGAGTTTTAAGAGTCAGGAGGAAAGCCCTGGATTATTCCCTGAGAGGGGAACCGAGGAGGGGCTGGTTAATAATTACACCGGTAGCAAGTTCTCCTGCTTCATCTTGTGTACACGACCAGAGGAACAATGCTGGGGACAGGAACAGGTGTGCCCTGCGTCTTAAAAGGCCAAAATATGTCACTGGTGTATTTTTACAATGCGAGTAAGCGTTTGTTTTTAACTGGCCAGACTTTTTTTTTTTAAATTTCTTAACTTTAGAGAAACACACTTTGCAAACACTTCTTCCCCGAGTCAATGACTAAGTCCTAGACACAAGGTGAAACTCATGCTGGGTGAAAAAAATACCTTTTAGACACAAAGAGTTGTTTTTTTTTTAATCACAGTAAGTGAAGGTAGTGCACCCTGCCCCTCCCCCCGAGGAACACCCATTCAAGGGCCCCTTTCAGAGATCCCAAGTGAAGTCGTAAATCACACAGGGCCCCAGCCCCAGCCCCGAGCCACCTCACCCTCCACTCGGCCTCATTAAGGTACAATTAGAAAGCGAGGCAATCACCAACCCCCTTAGCCACATCTTTCCACACAGGAGAAACAGTTAAACCAAAACGCACCTTCTCAGGTTCACAGCAAGCTCCAAACTTCACATTTTAAAATTCCCTCTAATAACTGCTTTCCACGGGGACAAACCGGGGTCCCCCTACCCCTGGGGCACAGGAAAGCCAATCAGAGCCATAAATTCCCTGTGCCTTCGAGCCTCACTCCCCCGGACTCAGGGCAGAGTGGGGGGAGGGGGCGACCCCACGTCAACACTTACACTAAGCCCCTCCATGCTACAGAAATATGCTGGCTTATTTCCTTTGTTTGGTCCTGTTATACTTGATCAAGTGTGAACGATTAAACTGGTTTCATTAAAGGCAAGTGCATTCACGGCTGACATCCAACTTCAATGGCAACTGTAAGCATATTTTGCAGGAAGGAGGGCCTGTTTTTTTTTGTTGTTGTTGTTTTTTGTGCTTGAAACCTACCGTCTCATTAACTTTTCTTTGGGGGGCAATAAAAAAGGGCACCAGGGGTGTTTACAGGAGAGTGTCAGAGCCGCTCGTTCGGAGATCTGGTGCCAGACAAAAGGATATTTAGTGTTTCAACTCTAGGACACAGCCCCCAGTTACCTACAATAAAGAAAAAAAAATCCTGTTTCGATATTAAAGCTGCTCTGACTGAAAGTGTTTAATTAGCATATGGAATATCACTTGATAATTGCTGTAAGAAGTAGTCTTTGAAATGAAATGACTATAAAAACAAGATTCTTTAAAGTCCCATTACTTCAAAATATAAAAGATTTGTAAGGAAAAAAAAAATCAAAACAGTGTAATTCTCCGAAGTACATGGAAACTATTTCTACTTTGAGAACCCTGGAAGCTGAACAGCAGTCTTGGATACCGAACACGAGGTAATTCTTAAGATGCCTTTGAACCCACCAGCTGAGCAGGGAAGACTTGTAGGAGAGTTTAATACATTTCGCCAAAGTCAGGAGGCAGAGTCACTTTGTGAACTAACCAAAATACAGGTCCCCTCCAAATTATCCATGTCAGATAAAAATACACCAGCCTCTAGACTATCCAACGGAATTGCAAATAAGGCACTTAGCATTTTAAATTCCCAATGCATATTTATAGAATAGAATTCTCTTGTCTACCCTTCAAGCCACTCACATCTGACTCTCTAAGAACTTAACCCGATCTTCCATCTTTAAAGAAAAAGGGGGTGGAGGAATCCAGAAAGATCTGTTTAGCTCGGATAGGGCAAGGGAGCCGGCTCGACGCCGTAGGCCACTGCCAACAGCCTCCCTCGCAAGGACACAGCAAACGGGATTTCTACGAAAATGTCCTCCTTTTCCTTGTAAAATACGCAACGCGGGGACCCCGAGAGCCAACTGCTGCTTGGGCCGCCTCCGGAAAAAGTACTCGCGGGCGGGGGGTGGGATCATCACACTCGCGTACCCGTACACTCAGTGCCCGTGTGTACTCGTGTGTGTCTAGCCGCGGCCGGTCGTGACCATGCAGCGCTCCTGGGCCCGCGGCTCCACAACACCAAGGTGCTGCGTGGGCTTCGGGCACTCGGCCACGTAGCCGGGCCCCCAGCCGGAGAAAGGCCCCGGCGCGCCCCGGCTGCCGCGCGCCTCTGCCCAACTTGCCCCGGGCGCTGGGAAGAGCGCGAGGGAGAGAAAGAAAGGCGCTTCCCCTTGGCCGCGCGGGTCCGTCCTGGCTGCGGAGCACGAGGAGGAAGGAGATCGCGGCAGCCCAGCTGCAGCTGCGCCGCGCCGGGTCCCCGCCGCCCGGGGCGCGCCCTCGCCAGCCCCTCCTGCTAAACTTTTTCCTTTTGGTTCGCCCCACCCGAAAAGTGCAGCCCGGGCGGGGTAGGCGGGAGGGCCGGGCTCGCGGCGGCAGCGGGCGAAAAGGAAGTGGTGCCCGCGGGAGCGCGGCCGGGCAGAGGAAATGCCCGGCCCTCCTGGCCCCCGCCCGCGGCCCGGCTCACCCCGGGCCCCCGCCCCGCTGCGACTTTGGCGGGCCGAGCCCAACGCGGCAGTGTTGGCGGCGGCGGCAGATGTGGCCCGGCTGCCCGGAGGAGCCAACAATGCGGGGCCGGCAAAACAAAAGGGTTCCACTTCTCCTCCTCTCCAGTCTTTCGCTAGCACTCCCGGAGCGCCGCGCGGAATCCCGGGCCAGCAGGGGCCGCTCCCCTGGGGGCCCCTGGCCGCGCGCGCCCCGATTTCCCCGCGGACCCCCGCTTGCCCCCACCCCCGCCCCGAAAGCTCAAGGCCCCGCGCGCTCGGACTCCCGGTCCCCGGGGATCCGGCCATATTGTCCCCGCGGCGCGCCGCGCGCTCGGCCTGGGTCGCGGGCGGTCCCCGCGCGCGCACCCACCGGCCTCGGGGAGCAGGAGCCGGGGGCGCCTAGGAAACCGTCGCCGAGACGCCGCCGCTACAGCTGCCCTCTGGACGCCGCCGCGCTCGGGATTTCTTTTTTTATTTTTTCTATGCCAATCCTGATGGGAAGGTGACCGCCTACTTCGCATTCATCAACTCTCATCACAACAACAAAAATCCTGGCGCGACCGGCAGCGGGGGGCGGCAGGCGGAGACCCCCCAGGCCGGCGCCCACCCCCGGGCGCCGAGCAGGGACACGGGGCCGGGGGCGCAGACCCAAGATGTCCTCGGACGCCGGCTTCGTGTCCTTCGCCCTCCTTCCCCGCCCCGAGTGGCGCAGTGAGGCGCGGGCGCGGCGCCCCCAGCCCGCCGCCGCAGGTGAGGAGGGGGCGGCGGCGGCCCCAGCCCTCCCCCCGGGGCCCCTCTTACCTCGTCCGGGCCGCCAGCGTCCACGGCGAAGGGCGCCCACCCGGGAGGCGGCGGCGGCTCCCGCCCCTCCCACCCCACCCGGCGGCGGTGGCGGTGGCGGCGGCTGTGCGGCGCCCCCCCTCAGCGCGGCATGGCTCTCGGCTCAGTCCTCCGCTCCTCGGGCCACCTTAAAATGACACACGCACACAGGGACACACACACAAAAACTTAATCTCTCCAGCGCCCCGCCCCTCCCCCTCCCGCCCTTCCCTCCCTTCTCCTCCCCTCCCTACCCCTCCCCTTCCCTTCCTCCTCCTCCCCTCGCCGCCGAGCCTCTTCCTACTTCCCCACCCACCCACCCCCTTCCTCCGCCCACCCGGCTCCCAGGGCTCCCCACCCGGGTCCGGGCCCGCGCGCGCCCGCCGGGAGGGGGAAGAACTGGGGGTCCCCGGCCGCGCACGCCCCGCGCCGCGGCGCGCCTAGCCGCGCTCACCCCCGGGAGGATGCTAATTCCAACTTGGATCGGGGGAGGGAGCGTCCTGGATGCCGAGCGCCTCCCGGCTATTTGCTCTTCTTTATTTGTTTTCTCCTCCGGGGAAGGAGGAGGAAAGCGGAGAGAAAAGGAAAGGGAAAGAAGCTGCGTTGGCCGCGTCTCCGGTGCCCGCCGGCAGCTCCGGAGCGAGGCGGGAGGCGAGGTGAGGGTCGCCGCTTGCTCACTCCTCGCTCCCTTTTTTTTTTTTTTTTTTGGCAAAGGCGGGGTCTCTCTTTGCAAACCAATGACACAACCCCACATGGGCCAGCCTCGCCCCCTAGAGCTACTCCTTACTACAAATCGGCTCTCTCCGGGGATTAGTGGCTCTGCGAAAGTGCACACAGGCGCGGCGGGCGGGCGGGCGAGCAGGCGAGGGGGCCGGGCGCGGCGGGCACTCCCCGGCCCCGCCCCGCCCAGGAGGCCCTGGAGAAGTGAGGGGGCCTCGACGGCAGGGGCTAGGGTCCCGCCCCAGCCTCCCGGGCTCTGGCCTCCCCCCCTTCTCCCTCCTTCCCCCTCCACCCTCCTTCCCCCTCCACCCCTTCCACGTGGGGCCCCGGGCGTCCGGCCACATGGGGGGACGCGAGCCCGGCCCAGCCTGGGCGCAGCGCCCCGGTGTGGCTTTGGCCCCATCGGGCCCCCGCCAGGCCCGCGGCGCCGAGCTGCCCCCTTCCCGGCCCCGCGGCTCCAACTTCCTCCTGGGCCCCCGCGCCCGCCGCGTCTGCCTTCTCAGGCCCTCGGGGTCACGCTCGGGCCGGCCACAGGGGGCACTTGCGCTCCCCAAATCCGGATCCGGGAGCCGGTGCCTGCGCCTTGCTCGAGAGGTGGCGATGGCTGTGGGCGCCTGGGGAGAGAGCCTTATGTGCTGGAACTTGCAGCGGTTGTGTTCCCTACGAGAAGCAAAACATTTTTTACACATTAAAAAAAAAAATGTTCCTTTCTGTTGCTTGGATCTCCCCGGGCTATTTTTAGACCTTTCTTTTGGGTGGGAGCTCCGGGCCTCTCAAGAGAGGCGCGCGGCAGCCCGAGGGGCTGAGGGTCGGGGTCCGAAGCTCGCACCGTGCCCTTCCTCTGCCAGGGGCCCACGCCTCCGGACCCCGCGAGATTAGTCTGGACGCCAAACCGGGTGATCCAGGCCGAGCGCCGGCCGCACCTGGACTGAACGGCTGTGTTTACGGGGTCGGAGGGCTCTTCTCCCTGCGCCCCAGAGCCCCCCAAACTCATCTCAGTTCCCTGAGGTCGGCCACGCGTCCTCCAAGCGCCCCTGTGTGGGCTGAACGGAGCCTTTAGCTCCAAACTGTTTGAAAACCGTATTGAGATGTTAGGAACTGGATTGAGACGTAGAGCAGGAAAGGCGTGGGGCGGGCTGGGAGGTCCGGCCTCCGCTCCGCAGGCCCGCGGCCATTCCGGGAGCCTAGTGGCTGGAGTGCACCACACCCTGCCGCGCGGGGGGGGACTCTCTAGGGCCGGGGAACCCGGGCAAGGGCCACCAAGCCTCGGGACCCCTTTCTGCACCCGAAAGAGCACAGCTCCAGGCCTCTGCCTGTTAACGTTTTAAGAACTCGGGCTCCAGCCCGCAGCAGGGAGTCGGTGTTAACCTGCTCGGTCGCTAAAGTGCACTCAGGAGACTGCCTCGCGCGCCGAGCCTTGCGGGGGCCCTGACTCCTGATGGGTGGGTCATCATAAAACAGTAAGGTTTGAAAACGCCACTGAAGACCTCCCGGCTGTGATGTCAGCACTGGACCCGGCCACTCACACCCGCGAGCGCCCGGAATCAGGTTACTGAGATGCCCAAGCACGTTTTCCACGTGGCCCTAACGGGTCTCTGCCAGGCCTGGCGGTGCCTGTCCAGTGTCCCATTTAGTAGAGAAGCTCCCATCTGCCAGTAACCCTGCCCCCCCCCCCCCCCCAGACATCAGCACCTCTCTCCAGCAGTGTGGCCTCAAGGTCATGGCACTGAAGCTAGTTCTAGGCATAAGCTGTAACGTAATCACCAGCAGTAAAGAGGTTCTGCTTCCTCCTCTCACAGATGCGCTTGGGTTCCCAGTGGCCCTCCAGTCTCACCCGGAAACCACAAAACTCTGCGGGGTTTTTTCCTATACCTTACTCAACTTGGATGCCTACTGTGAGTCCGACCTAACTCAGGAAATAGTACGTCCTTTGTGTTGAAAGTGTTAAAAAGAAGGCACCCTCGGAGCCAGAAATTATTTTTCACTTCAACTGGAGACGCTGTATTTTAAAATATTAAGCCCATTTGCCCCCAAATGGGAATTATTTTAAACTACAATTGTTAAAAAAAGAAATGTTTCAGCCCTGGCTGGCGTGGCTCAGTGGATTGAGCGCGGGCTGCGAACCAAAGCGTCCAGGTTCGATTCCCAGTCAGGGCACATGCCTGGGTTGCAGGCCACGGCCCCCAGCAACCGCACATTGATGTTTCTCCTCTCTCTCTCTCTCTCTCTCTCTCTCTCTCTCTCTCTCTTTCTCCCTCCCTTCCCTCTCTAAAAATAAATAAATCTTTAAAAAAATTTTTTTTAATGTTTCAAACAACAGCAAACCAAAAACAGCCCAACTCAAAAGCGGGCAAAGACTTGGACAGACCTCTCTCAAAGGAAGGTGTGCAAAAAGGAGTGACAAGCACGCGGAGAGATGCCCGGCATTGCTCATCATTAGGAAAGTGCACATCGAGATCACAGCGAGAGACCTCTTCGTGTCCATCGGGATGGCTGCCCCAAAGGCCAACAACAAACAACAGAAAATAAGCTCTGGTGAGGGTGTGGAGGAACGAGAAAATGTGTGCCCGGCCGGTGGGAATGCACACTGGTGCAGCCGCTGTGGAGAACAGCGCGGCCGTTCCTCGAAAAGTCCTGTAGGATTCTCCTAGGAACCAGTGGTCCCGGTTCTAGGTGGGTACACACAAGAACGAAGGCCAGGGTCTCATGTGTTCACACACGTGTACAACGTGCATGGCAACACTCATGAAATCGAAACGGCGGCAGTAACTCAAATGCCCACTGAAGGATAAACGAGGTACAGGCACCTTGAAAAAGAAAGAAAAGCTGACACCTCCTATAGCGTGGACGACCCTGGAGGACATGGCGCTGAGTGAAATGAACCAGACGCAGAGGGCCAAATAGTGTTGGGTTCCCCCTCCACGGCATCTGCAGTAGGGGCACGGTCACACAAGGTGGAGCAGAGCTTCCCAGGCGCTGCAGGGAGGGGAGGGAGGTGGGTGCTGTTTTCAGCTTTACCGGGTTCGGGCTGGGGTGGCGGAGAAGTTCTGGGGACGGCTGGAGGGCGGTGGCAGCAGCTGCATGGCGGTGTGTGGTGTGTGCGTGCTCCATGCCACAGAGCTGTGCACTGGGACCCGAATAAAATGGTAACTGTGTGTGTATTTTACCTCAGCGCTATAAAGAAGTTACAAAGTAGCTTTTGTCTTACAAACTTCTGGTTTGCCTGCATTTACTGTACGTAAAGGTCATTTCTAACGAGAAAAATGACGATGAAGGTCACATTGTTTGTTCCACTGCATTTCAGTGAGTTCCCTCGGCGGGACAGAGCGGCAGCACGACCCTTTCTCAGTCTTCTCTGCGCTTCCTTCCATCTGACCCCGCCTCCCGGGGCAGGGTCGGATTCTGGCATCCCAACAGGGACTGCGACAGACACAGACACAGACAAGAGCAGCCATAAAAACAACAGGAGTAACCAACGATTGTCCACGACTCACGAGGTCCTGGCTCTGGGCAAAGCCTTCGATGTGAACCTCCAGTCCTCCTGCAAGCCCCCGAGGAGAGATGCAGGTCTTATCCCCATTTCACAGTGAGGGAAACCGAGGTGACCTAATGTGCCTGCCCCAAGGTCACACTGCTGGCCAGTGACAAGCTGGGGTTAGACCTCTGACACCACCCCTGCCCCCGCCCGCCCCGCATTCAAGAAGGGCATCTGTTTGCATACACATATCTTCATGAGTGTAGATTCGGAAAAGGGAAAGTTAGTGACTGCTGAAACAAATGATCATCTTCTTATTGAACGTTTTTGCCTTTGTTTAATAAGCCTTCAATCTAATCTTCAAAGGGAAGAAAACAAAAGAAAGCCCAAGGATTAAATGCTAAAAAAAACAAACAAACAAACAGGTGGATACAGCGTGGTGGATTTTAAGGCCCCTGAAGATCCCTTTCAGAACACCAACAGAAAGCGGTGACAACAGAAGGCAGAAAAATTGTGGATTAGAATAAGGGTCCTACATGTTTCTTTCATTTTGAGGAAGAAAGAATTCAAAGAGTTCAAAAAAGTGGCATCCGTCACTTCCTATGACAGGCACATGTCATTTTTTCCTGGTGGCTTGAGTCAGGCGGGAAAGTCCGAGCACTCCGTGTGTTCAGGTCCCCCCCCAACCCCACCCGAGACTCGGGCTTCCCTGGGGGGGCCCAGTCTGGGAGGGGCACGCTGCGCCAGGACGTGGAGCAGAGGCTTCTTCTTCTTGGGGCGAACTCCGCTCGTTTGCCCGGGAGTCTCCATTCCCACGCCACGTTGCCAGTGAGGACTCTCTGCCTCTGGTTGGATGCGTTTCTTCTGGGTTAAAGGGCCTCTGCTCACGGGTCTCTTTTGGCCGATAAAGTTCGAACTCCTTATTGAAGTGACTTCTCCCCCTTTTCAAGGAGTGTCTCTCCTCCTGCCTGGGTACTAGGATCTGGGATTCAGATAGGGGGTGTTTGCCAGCCCCAAGGCTCTTGGGGAGGGGTCCTAGCTCCCCAGTTGAGGGGTCTGGCCCCGGGGGCCCCTGTACCATGCAGTGTGCGGGCAGCTGTAACCAGCCCGGGTATCATTCTCAGCACGGAGAGGGCCAGGGCTTGTTCCTGGGGTCCCAGGCATTTCCCTACTGACCTGGCACAGCTGACCCTCCAAGGCGCTGCCTTGTCCTCCAAGGCCCCCTCAGCGCCACCCACCGCCCCCCTGGCCACCTCCCTCATGAATGCACAGCACCTGCTAACTTTCAGGTGCTTTCCACACCCCCAAGAAGCCATGGGTTCCGTCCAGGCCACAACCTAAGGCAGCATTCCCACCACAGGCCGTCCGTCCAATCTCTCCTCTGGACCACGCCCCGACACACACCCACACTTGCTCACAGGTGGGCTGGTGGCACAGGGACAGCAAGAGTCAGTCCAGACGCTCCCTCTCTGTCTGCACTCTCCCGGGAGAAAATAAAGGGCATCTCTTGAAAAACTAATGATTGGCTTTTAACAGAAAATGAAAACTGGGTAAACCGTGATCCCTTGTTGCCTTGGCTGACGGGGAGCTCAAAGTCACAGGTAACACTCAAGGACACCAACCAGCCTACTGTCACGCTCCAGGAAGCCACACGCACTTCTTCCGTGGAAAGCGACTGTGAACTTGATGCAGGGGAGGAGTGGCTTGTGTTGTTTGAAAGGGCACGTGAAGTATTTCCACGTCATTTTACATCTGGAGGACACAGTGCCAGCTGTTCTGATAATTCACATGACGGAAGGCGGAGCTCACTAAACTCCTCTCGTCTGGTGATCATGCGCGGGGGAGACAGATGGGTCACTCCCTGGACTTGCAAACGCTGGCTGAGACGCTGTTGGAAGGAGGGTCTGGTCCCCGTTTCGACTGTTTTGATCAACTGTAGGGTTGTGTGTACGTTTCACTATTACCACCTAAAGTGCATTTTTTGGAAGTAGGTGGGAAATTATTAATAAATACATACGAATCCCAGTCACATCAACATCTCTGACTTAGAACAAGGGACTTTTTTTTTTAGGGGACAAACGATACAGAGGGGACACGAATTGCCCTCAGTGGCCCGTGTCACATTTTGGAACCATGAAAGTATGTGACGGCTTCGTCTGTGTGGTAGGGCCTTGGACAGAGGGGGTGCCTGGTGAAGTATCTCTTGGATGGATGGGTGGAGGGACAGATGGAAGGAAGGACAGACGGATGAATTACGCTGTGACTGTATTTTGAGAGATTCCAGTTGTACAGAAGTTATATATACAAACCGACAAAGACAGTCAATTAATTTTAATTGAACATATTAGTCCTTAGAGGTAGGATCTGGGGTTATCTTCAAAGGTGTTTTAACCTGTACTTTGTTGGACTTTTTTTCTAATGTACGAGAGTAAAGGGCAAAGGGGAATGACACGCAGCGAACAGTTCAGAAAAAATAATATGCACGGAAAACAAACGTGGCAAAACCTTAAAAACCGGTGAACTGGGCTGATAGGTATACAGGGGTCCTAATGGCTGAGCTGGACATTTAAAAATTGTTTACACACGAAAGTTGTTTTTTTTAAGATTTTATTTATTTATTTTTAGAGAGGGAAGGGAGGGAGAAAGAGAGAAAGAGAGAGAGAAACATCAATGTGCGGTTGCTGGGGGTCATGGCCTGCAACCCAGGCATGTACCCTGACTGGGAATTGAACCTGGGATGCTTTGGTTCGCAGCCTGCGCTCAATCCACTGAGCTACACCAGCCAGGGTGAAAGTTGTTTTTTAAAAAATCCATAGCCCCAGTGTGAAGTGCTGGCTTGGTCAGGCACTTGTTTTCTCCGTTTAGCCACCTTCAAATAGGAAGGCCTGGTTCCTCCCGTGCTCTGTGCCCCAACCGCCCCCCTACTCTCACCCCCCACTCCAGCAGCCTCTCTGCCTCTCAGAACCCGACCGGGGCCTGGGAGAGACCCGGGGGTGACAGGCCATGCTGCAGCACGGCACGGGGCTCTCCCTTTGCGGGGAGCAGGGGCCTCTCACCAAGGTCCCCACTCCTATCTCTCCGGCTTCATTTCCAGGAAGCAACGGCTGTCAGAACGAGACAGTGGCCCCACATCGCCGTGGGCCCTATTATTGCAACCGCTTCATGCAATGCAATGGGGTAGCCGTGTGCCCTGAGAAGGTCCAGATCCCCCCCGCCAGTGCTGCAGGGAGCTGGATGTCACTGTGGAGTCACTCCCGTGTCTCTGTCATCCCGGGCTCTGCTCACTTCAGACCCACGACCTCGGGGAGCTCTCCGTGGCTGTCCTGCACGGAGGTGGGGACTCTGCCGCACTATTTACAGAATGGCTGTGTTCCTGGTGCCTGGGATGTAACCGCAGTGTGAGCCCTAATGAATTCTAATCAGGGGGTACGATTGCCTTTGCAGGGGCTGTGTGTGGCCCTTCCCAGCACCGCGCCACAACTGCTGTGCTCGCGCCCCGTGCGTGGAGGGGTACAGATCGGAGGGTTGAAGCTGTCTTTCAGAACCTCATTGGCTTTCAGGTTTAAGCCCCTCGATTTTATTTTTTAGTGAAACGCACACTCACACACACGCACCCCCACACACGGTGCCTGAATCCTTTGAAAAACAGGGACTTTGGTCCTGGAAAAACAAGGATGAGCTTGCCAATCCGCAGAAATGCATGTCTGTGACGTCACATGTGGAAGAAACACACGTACTGACCTCCGACTGTTCAACCGACCTTGGAGGCCGCCGCTCCGCGCCCAGCCAGGCTGGCCCCTGGGACAGACACGGGCTGAGCTGGGCGCTGCCTCCAAGGACGGAGGAGGACCTCAGGGAAACGGTGTTGGCTCGAGGAGCCCCTCAAGTAATCCTCCCCGTGATTCAAGGGAGAGAGTCAGCCCAGACGTGCCGCACCAACCCCCTGGGAGCAGCCAGTTCCCCGGGCTGCAGCCTGTGCTCACAGGGACCCCACGGGGCCCCACGGGTCAGACAAGACAGTCCCCATTAAGTAACTCGCCGCAGGCTCCTCCCCCAGTGAGTGGCAGGCCTAGTGTGCAGTGTGGCTCTTCCAACCTCCAAGTTCAAGGTGCTTCAGCCACCTTGGGAAGCTAATTTAAATACTTAGATAAAACATGCTGCATCTGTGCACCGTAGAACCCGGGGCGGAAAAGCCTAGAATTCTGTGTGAGTGACTCATCGGGTCAAACCGAAGCCAACGAGAGTCGAAAATGTCCCTGGCCTCTCGGGAGGCCGCCTCCCCACAGGCCCAGCCTTGGAATGTTCATTTTCCTGTGGCGGGGCAGGCGTGACACACCGACCTTCGGACGTGTTCGCGGCCGTGACTAACACCGCAGTCACAGCGGGCACTGGAGTGACTCAGCCCTCCGCCGCGCCTGCCGGGGGGCCACAGGGGGAATGGCCGA